GGGCCTTGACTGTTTCAAAAAAAAAAGGGAAAAAAAAAAAAAAGGGAACGAGGCTACCTCCCATCCTAACCTCATTCTTCGACCATGTGAAGAAGAAGACCTGCCACCACACGTACCAAGCGGACAGAACAGCTAAACGTTTTCCACAAATGTTGTCCCTACTTTCTCCGTCCTTCGCTGCCAGTGATCATCCCCTTCTGATTTCCTTTAGCTTGACATTCCAAAACCGTTTTCACTCTTTGTTCGGTCTGGTACTGGCCCACGGAATCACCACATGGCTCACGTCTGAAATTCACCACCCCTTCCGTAGCAACCCGTGGAAGCAGGCCACCCCACCAAGTAGCAAAACTGGGATAAGCTTGAAAATTTTGATCCCATTGATTGTCATCCATCAATGACAGAGAGACTCTTTCTGCACGGTCCGCATCCACTTAGGGCCTACTTGAACTACTCCCCATCTGCCACAATTCGTGGTGGATGGGTGGAGAGTGAACAAAATGAGAATCGTGTCGATCGGGAGGCTTGGCTTCACTTACTCGCAAAAATTGGCATATGGAGAGTAGTGCAACCAGGCCCTTAACCGAAAGCACTCACCACAAATGTTGTCCCTACTTTCTCCGTCCTTCCACCCGTGAGAGCTCATCCCGCTGCTCATGAAACCACGCAGAGAGTCTCCACCTCTCAAATCTGAGCCCCCACTTGCCAAAGCTCATCATTTCGGTTGTTACCCCCTTAGCACGTTCCTCATCAATCACAGGTCTTGAACTCCGGATCTGCGAATAAGCAGCCGAATCTCTCTCATATGGACCCCCGCAGGGAGTCTCCACTTCTCCTCAACCTAAGTCCCCACTTGCCTAGATTCTACATTTCGGTCGTTACAGAGTGATATCCCCACAGCGATTTTGTATCTAACACAGGCCCCGAGTCTGCGGATCAATACTCTCTCTCTCTCTCTCTCTCTCTCTCTCTATCTATCTATCTATCTATCTATCTATCTATCTATCTCTCTCACCCACACACAC